CTTTCCCTCATTTATTTCCTCCCCCTTTCTGAGTTGATAGGGACATTCTTTTCAGAAAGTATTCACCTTTGCCACCCTGGAGAAATAGGTGTTGTTCCAGATCACTGCATGAGCATTATTTATCTGTTTGCTCTCAGTGAGGGCTGGTCCGAGCCAGACAAGGTTTATCAGGTACATTCTTTGAGGACATGGATCTTGTGTATTGTCTTCCTAATTATAATAGGGCTTGTTGCAGTCCTGGTTGATTTTACCTCTTGTAATAGTCACTAGGCAGACACAGATGTGTCTGCACTGAGGCCTGCCCAGTCCCACAGAGCCCAGCAGCTCTCTCGGGTTTCTCAGACATATTCCACAGCCACAAACTTGGTTTGATACCTTCAGCTGCTCTGGGTGTCTGTGAAAGCCTTAGCTGTAACCCATGCTGATCATGACAGTGCAGACCAGCGAAATCCTTTTGAATAATCAGAATAAATTTCTGCCCTGGGGCTGCTGTACCTACCTTCTCAAAGGTAAGTGACTAACAGAGGGGTTTTTTTGTAAAGGAATTTCTGTGACACAGAAGCAGATGGTTTAGGCCACTTTCCTATTCTTCATAATACCCTTTTCCAAGATGTTAGTGTATTCATCAGTGTGGTTTTCCTTTCCTGATGAAGTAGTGTCCTTTGAAGCTCTTAGCAGTTTTGTATTTTTCTGCCTTGTTTGTATCAAGCAGTCAAAATGTCCTTTGTTCAAACTGGGTTCAGAATAAGGGATCTTTGGCAGTCTGGTCCACCACCCACCCTGTGTTTGGACGTGTTGGTGTGTGTGCCAGCAGACACTGCTCTGCTGATGCATGAGTGAGTAAGATTTTAGAGAACTTAATTCTTTCATCTGTGCTAGGGAGTCCTTGCCAGTCATGTTCTGTCCCACAGGAGTGGCAGCAGGGATAGGTGGGGAAGGTAGGACAAGGAGGAGAAAGAAAGGGAAAATGATTCATTAAGATTTTTTGCATCTAGGTTGTTGAAAAGCAGCATGAGATTTTTAGACCCCAGTACATTAGGTCTAGTTTTAATGTATCGTGTAACAAATTAGAAATGCTGCAACTACCTGATTCAAAGCTCTGACCTACAATAAATTCAATTTGTAGATACAAATTTCACTACAAAACTTGCATGAGTTAACTTCAGCTCAGGGAGATTTGTGGCAGTTCAGATACTGCTTCTCTTCACAGAGCTGCTGTAGATACTATGTTCAGTGGTGTGTAAATCTTACTAGAGAGTTGGATCTGTGTCAGGCCTTGGCACAAACTTGTCTTGGCTGTGATTGTGGAGCTGCCACCTTTTTTGTGTGTATTTTTTCACGTTCCAAAATCTGGTGGTGTGTGAACTCAACACCAACACTTCATGTGTTCCTTCACTGTTGTCAGTCATGTTCATATGAAAGAGCCTCAGGAAACCCTTGTTTTACTCAGATTGTTGTCAGCTTCTTGTTGTAACATGCTTCCATTCGAGTGGAAGATGACTGTAATAAGCTTTTGCCCACAGTCTGGGTGATAGAGGACCAAGTCTAGGTAGGGAGTGATTGATCTGGCACGCTCCAGAACATGAGCTGGTACTTCCAGCAGTCAGACAGAATGCAAGTTTCCCAACCAGAGAGGCTTTAGAGAGTGATTGTACCCCTGTCCTCTCACCAGAATGCTCACAGTTACTTGGGCAGAGTGGAAACAGCAGTACTGGAATAGGTATCTGCTCCCTTAAAGCTATGGCTTGCCCAAAAGGGACATTTCCCAGTCGTAAACAATCAGAATGCCATAAGCAATGTTTTACAGCTTCCTAGTTTTTCATCAGCATCTTGGTTTTGCTGTTTGCTTCTCTGTACAACCCAATCAGAATGCCATAAGCAATGTTTTACAGCTTCTTAGTTTTTCATCAGCATCTTGGCTTTGCTGTTTGCTTCTCTGTACAGCAGATGGTCAGCAAACATTAATTTGAAGACCTTTACCGTGTTTGTCCTTTAATGCTGACAGACAAGGAACCTTTCCAAGTGATGTTTATTCACTGTACTGTGTTCTGGGATTGACTCAGTTAAACATGCCATAAGCAATGTTTTACAGCTTCTTAGTTTTTCATCAGCATCTTGGCTTTGCTGTTTGCTTCTCTGTACAGCAGATGGTCAGCAAACATTAATTTGAAGACCTTTACCGTGTTTGTCCTTTAATGCTGACAGACAAGGAACCTTTCCAAGTGATGTTTATTCACTGTACTGTGTTCTGGGATTGACTCAGTTAAACTTTGACAATTTATACCTGTAAACCACTGGAGAACCTCTGCTTTGGAGATTTTTGGTATTCTGCTTCTTTTTTTACCTTAGGTTCTCACCTGTGTTTAGGTGAGAACACTCAATTACTGATGTTAAAATAATTAAATTGCACTTTTCCTACCTCAGGGAATGTACCCGATAAAACTAACAAGCTTCATTCTGAAACTAAGGCAAGTTTTGTTCTGTGCAGAGTTTGTAGCAGAACAGCAAATTGTAGTAGGATGACAAAACTCAGCAGCTTTTCTGACAAACTTTAGAAAACCATGAGCCATGATCAGTGAGTTCATATCTCTGACAAGTCAACAGATACAAATTAGCACCGAGAATGCTTAATTGCTCATCAAACCTGACAGGCTCTTGTCATAAGTTGGACGGAAGCTCGAAAGAAGGTGCACTACAGAAAGAAATGGTTTTTACTGAAACACTTAAAGCTGTCTGATGTGCTCTTAGTATTTTGCACCAGGTTGTGGTGGCTGCGGGTGTGTCCTCAGTAGCTTTGTGCACCTTGGCTCTGTGTGAGGCTTTTGCTGCATGGCAACCTGCAAATGTGGGTTCAGCTGGGTTACCACGGGAATAAACTTCTCAGGAGACCCTGCTGAGGTCTGTCTTCATAGCTACTGCTGTGTAGAGGAAGTAAGAGAACTTTGTATTTCCTAAATACAGTAACAGCATTTCAGTTTGAATCAGAAGGTGAATGATGTTGTTTGTGGTCTGACTCGCCATCAGAGCCTTTTTTCCTTACAGGCTTTGTCCAGTGCACTTAGGAGCTTGGGTGGGAGCGAGGATGGGATGAATTGAGTGTGGAGCGTTATGTTTGGAAATATTTATCAGTTAACTTTAGTTTAGAGTAGATAATAGCAGTAGGTAAGAGACTAACTGGTTCCTTTTCAGCCATGGAAGTAATCAGCTGGGGTGGTCCCAGGGCGCTCTGGGCACGAGTATTGCTGAGTGATCATTGGCTGCCACCTGCGTGACAAAGTAAAGGACCAACCCTTCAATTTGTACCGGGGGAGCCAGATCACAGGAAACAAGTGACAGGTAAAATACACTTTTGACAATTTAAGGGAGAGGAGAGAGGACACACGGCATAAACGGAGCAAAGAACCTAAAAGATTTGCCGCAGATAGCCAAGGTTGCTCCGCTCAAACTTTGACGTAGCTGGAGCTTACTTCGTTTTTGGGGAGAGGCACAGAACCAAGTGCAAGGTGCTCATTGCTCTCCTGGGAACAGAGCCTTGCTGAGAAGCTAAGTTCATTGAGTTGTGGCAGGGAAACACCTAACGGAATTTTATTGTAATTAGAAATTACAGTTCATGTTTATGCACATGCCTACAGATCTTTGAATGCTTCTTCTCTTGGCGTTGGGTGCTTTCCTCTGGTCCAGGAGATTGGATTTAGTTTTCTTAGAGAGCCTAAAAATAATTTGCTGAATTTTCAAGTTCACCAGTTGAGTGTATTCTAGAAGTTGTAGAAATGCCATGCAAGAATGACTGTAGTAGGTCTTAATCTCACTGATAAAACAACACTTAGCATCGCTTTTGTTCTTCTGCTTTATGTGGGTTTTTATTTAGTAGGCTGGCTGAAAATAATATGGAAGGCCTTTTAACTAAATTATTTTTACCTATTTAGAGTTGTTAAGCTTATGCTTAGCCCGGCGTGCGACAGGACTGGTGTGACAGCGCGGTTTTGATCAGTGACTCAAAATTGTGATCACCCTGATGTCACCGAATGGCCACAGCTTGTAAAAGGTAAGTGTGGAGCACATCGGGTCAGTTCTCAGCAGCTGTTTACTATAATGTTTATTTTCAAGTATTTCATTTGTATGGCATGATGTTAGTTTTATAAATAGCGTTAAGTTGTAGTGTTTGTTTAAGATGAGTCATCTGGCAGAGTTGACTTCTGCTCTTGCTAAGTGATTTCAGAGCTCACTTTGTTTGTCCCTGACTGCTCCATGATACTCTGCTTAAGAACAACACTACCACTTAAAGGTCTCTGCTAATTTTTACTATCATGCTGAATTTCTGTATAAATTGTTTAGCTTACTTATCTAAGCAATTCATTCGGATTTTTTTAGCAGTATTTGTCCAGGAGGCATGCTGATGTTCAAGTGTGTGAGCATGCATTGCTTTACTTCTCCCTCCTAGAGAGGTATGGTGGAGGTAAAGGAGTGACTTGCAGAGCGAAGTTGCTCCCTGTGTTGTTGGAAATGAGCCACCGTTTGAATTTCCTCGTTCATACTGCAGTATTCAGATTAGTTGGTGCCTTGTGATCAGTATCTACAATCTAATTCAAAGCTGAAATTTTTAAGAGCATTTGCTCTGAGATTTTCTCTGAACAGAACTCTTGTTTCAGATTTTAAGCATGGTGAAAGGACGTCTTGCTGTACTATATAGTTGTTTTTCAGTACTGTTGCCTGCTCAGAGGAATAACAAGGTATCTTGTTTGTAAGCAGTTGGGTATTGCAGAATAAACAGCTTCTCAACAAACAACTACATTTCCTGTAATTAGGTTGATCTTCCACGTTGTTTTAATGACTGTTGAAAGCTCCTTTTATTTGGTGCTTACATTGCCATTTGAAACCTTTTACAATCCAGTTAACATGTTGTAGCAGCAGCCAAACCCCACACAACCACTCACACACTCCCCCACCAACGGGATGGGGGAGAGAATGGGAAGGATAAAAGCTAGAAAAGCTCATGGGTTGAGATAAAGACAGTTTAATAGAGAAAGCAAAAGCTGCACACACAAGCAAAGCAAAACAAGGAATTCATTCACTGCTTCCCATGGGCAGGAGGTGTTCAGCATCTCCAGCAGAGCAGGGACCAGCACATGGAATGGTTCCTTGGGAAGACAAACACATCACTCCAGATGTCCCTCCTTCCTCCTTCTGCCTCCCACCTTATCCCCTGAGCATGATGTGCTATGGTATGGAATATCCCTTTGGTCAGGTTGGGTCACCTGTCCCAGCTGTGTCTCCTCCCAATCTCCCATGTACCCCCAACTCCCTCCCCAGTGTGGCAGTACAGAAAGCAGCAAAGGCCTTGGCTCTGTGTGAGCTCTGCTCAGCAACAACAAATCATCTCTGCATTATCAACCCTGTGCTCTGCACAAATCCTAAACATAGCCCCATACTAACCACTGGGAAGAAAGTTAACTCCACTCCAGCCCAAACCAGCACACGTGTGCATTAATATGGTAGGTCTGCTCATGCTATAGAAAACAATAAACTGAAGGAATTTGGTCCTTGTTTTCTGTAGAATCACTTATCTTAGAGGACCAAACCTTTTTTGACTGAGCTAGGTTTTATTTTTTCTGAACTTTGCTGAAACTTTTTCGTGGCTTACATCATTCATCTTGTAGAAGGATCCTTTTTCATTTTTGGGGTTTTTTTTCAGAATAACATGTACTGAAGTGTACTCTCTGTTCTCAGTCCAGATAAAATTCTCGAAATGATGAGGATAGGAAAAGATTTTGGATATACTGATAGCTGTGTTTACATGTCTGTACTGCAGATCACCAGGCTACCTTTTGTAAATGCAGAGTTTAGCTGCCAATCTGCTCTTTTTCTCTAATTCTTCATACTGCTATTTATTTTAAAGTCTCAAAGTGATTAGTAGTCTTGATGCTTTTAACACCAGTATTTCACTTGGATTTTCATATTCATAACTTCCAGTATTTTCATATTTTCACAGCACTGCTCTCACCCAGAGCTTCATGTTGTATTTCCTAATACTAAAATAAAGATGGCAATGCCTTAAGGGGTCAAAGTAAGTAGACAGAGGAGGTGGCCAGTATGAGTAGAAACACTTGTCCTTCCACTGCTCATCAGGTTGTGTGGCTTCTAACACTTACATGGTTAGGTGAATAATTGAAGGGAAAAAAAAGAGATTCTTTTTGTACAGCATTAGTGGCTCGTTTTGGCCACTGGAATTGAAGGGTAGTGAAGCTTTTACTTGTTTTGCTACTGAGCATTACTTTTATCTTCAACTGTCTTCTCAGTCCTGAACTTAATGAGTAAGGGAAACATAATTGGGAGGGAATAAATAGAGACCAAATTCTGAGATTGGGCAGTTTTAATGTTATTTTCCTGTTAGAGGGTATTGGCATTTTAAGCATGAATATAAAGTTTGTTGGCTAGGAAGTTCAGATTCTGTCCCTAGTGTCAGTTAAGTTTTGTAGCTTAATGAAATATAAACAAATCATTTCCTGTGTTCTGCATCATCTGTCACTGCTCAGGATCCAGCTAGCCTAGGAATTATAAGTTTTCTGCCAGAAATGCTTTCTAGGCACTGGGTCTGTTTGGCTAAATTGAGAAGGTTGCTAAGATCTGGTATTTCAGTAAGGGGACTAAGATTTTAGTGCAGAATTCAGAGAACAGTCCAGGATTTTTAGGGAGGACCATGCACTGAGGTAGCACAATGGAACACAGGAAAAAGGGAATGTATCAGGCTACAGGTCGAGATTTCCAATAGCATGTATAGATAGTCATACAGTAAAGAGAGAAATTTAGAAATTCCTTTCCTGTGAGCAAAGTTCTTTTCCTGGTAAAGCTGTGGGAAAGTTGTTTAGCTGTCCTAACTGCAGTCCCCCAGCAGACTCTGCTGAAACCTACAAAGTGAGTTCTGTTTGCAGATTTTAACTCACTTCTGTTTTGAGAGCTGTCATGAAAGGCATTTTTGTTCATCTAAGCTACAGAGGTTTACTGTAATGGTTGTACTCAGTTTCCACTCCTTGCACAGTATGTCCAGCATGGCAGTTCTGGTCATCTGTCCCAAAATCCACATCCAAATAAAGGTTCAATAAAGTTTTCTAGGCTATTGAATTCAAAACTGCTGCATTTGGACTGCCTTGTCTTCTCCCTTATCTGGCTGCAAACTCACTGGCTAGGGGCAAGGCTCAAAGGGAGGAAAAAAATACTGCCAAAAAAAGTTAACTTTTTGAGTCAGTGTTGTCCTAAGGAAGAAGGTGGGAATAAGGAGAAGCTTAAGTACCTATAATTTAGCCTACTTAACTTAGTGTCTTCTGCCACACCTGCAAGGAGAGGACTGAGGGAATGGCCATAAGCTGAGACAGGGGAGAGTCAGATCAGATGTTAGGAAAAATGTTTTCCATGTGAGGATGTTCAGGCACTGGAACATCAGATCAGGAGGTGGTGGAGTCATCATCCCTGGAGGTGTTGAAGAGGTGTCTGGATCTGACCCTGGAGGATCTGGTTTAGGGTTTAGGGGTTCCAGCAGTGGCAGGTTAATGGTTGGACTTGATGATCTTAGAGGTCTCCTCCACCCTTGCTGGTTCTGTGATTCTAGTGTGGAGCTATACCCCTTAAATTACACTAAAATAAGCTGAACACAGGTTCTGCTTTTGTGTTCAAAAATGCCAGGCAGTAACACTTAATTCGGAATATTGCTGGCTGATCTCTTGGCTGGAATGAAGGAACAGAATCTGTGAGATTGCCCATAAATTCAGGTGGAGAGAGACATGAAATTTACCTGAGTTTCTGTTGGAACCTGCTTCTGTTGGAACCTGCTGCTTCTTAAGAGTCTAGCTGTGTAGAGAAGCTGTTTGTTGTGGTTGATCACTGATAAACTTGGAGTGTAGGTTTTGGTTACAGAAGTGGTTATGAAGAATAGCCCAGAACTGGTGCAGTGTTCAGCTGTACAGAAGTCCTGCCAGCACATCTCTTCTCTAGTGGCTGCTGTTGCATCAGCAGTGGGGAAAAAGTCCTGTCCTCCTTAGAGAAATGTGGCTTCATTATACTGTCAGGTTTTGTGTTAGAAACTGTGATCTGGAGTTTGGTAAAATTAAATCTGAAGTGTCTAAAAGTTGATGGTTCTAGTGGCAATAATACATTATCATCCCTTTTCACCTTTCATGGCTCTTCATATTGCATTGACTTAAAATAGCAAATGGTGCTTAAGGTTTTGTTTCTGTCTTTGCAGATCACCAGGAGAACCTCACTCTGAGAACATTGAAACTAGCCGAATGTAAGTCAACGAGAGGATGAGTTTGGTCTCTCTTGTTTTAAAATGTTTTGAACATATGTAACAGATACTCTTGCATCTGCTTAATAGAAAGGAGACACAAGCTGGGTAGAATTGTGTACCTTAGTAATTTTCAAGTTAGTATTTTTCTATGGAAAAAATAAGCCTCTGTAGAAACTGTGATGTTTTTTGAGGGTGACTGAGTTAAAGGGAAAGTTCAGAGGTTTAGTTTAACGTGAACCAGTAGATGGTAGCATAATACAGTGTCAGAAATCTTGAGGCCTGTTTTCAGGCTTGACAGTAGGGGTGTAATTTCTACCTGCTGTTCACTAACATTTTGCATGGGTTTGAAGGCACTTCAGTACTAAAGCACAATACCTGCTGATACCTGTTGTGGCAGATGGATTGTTGAACTAAGGAAAAAAAACTGATTTAATTTGGTGAATTTAATTTAGCTAATCTTGTTACTTCTAGAAACAGAAAACTGGCTTTCTTTCACTAAACAGTATTCTCATAGCATCTTGCTGACAGTTCTGAGCCTTGTATTTGTCCATCTTCATTAGCCCAGCAGGTAAGGTTAACCAGAAGCAAGAATGTGATGGGCTGAAATGTTCATTTCAATTTAAAATTTAAAAGGGTTTCAGGAATGAGAGTACCATTTTAAAAAAGAAGTTATTTGAGACTTTATTCTTCTGCGAGTTAGCAAACAAAGATTCTTTTCTAGCTATTCAAGTTGTCCTCTCATAGAACTCAAATAGGAAAACCACAAACTCTGCTTTTCTGGCTTACAGCAGAAGTTCCAAAATAATAGAGGGAGTGTAGCCCAGTGCTGAGTGTACTGTCTGAGGCTTCAAAGGGTCTGGGTTCATTTCTTTTCTGCCACAAACAACTTCTCTGACCTTAAACTGTCTCCTGCACGCCTTCCCCCCAAGTGGTCTAGCATTTTACACACCCTGGGCTGAATGCCAGTTCCAGGATGTTTTGCAGGCTAGGGACATAGTGTGAGTTGCTCAAGGACTTCTCTGCTGTAGCTGTCCAACTTGGGGAGGAGCAAAACTGAGGTGAGTCCCCCCCACAATGAACTGCATACCTAACCTTAAAAGTGATGAGGCAGCAGGGAATGCTTTTCTGCTGTGCTTTTAGCAATACACTGCAGTGAAGCCTTTCCTTGCACTAGGAGGAGCATTTCTTCTGGATGCCAAATTTCCTTCTCCCATGCCATCTGTTCCAGAAGTGCCGACTTTCTTAGGAGTGCAGGTCACAGGGTCCAGACCTGAGAGGTGACTGGTTGTCACTGTGTGGACATGTGTTAGAGGTTGCAGGCCAAAAGCTCTGCCATGGTCTTCTTCCTGCTCCAGTAGCAGCCTGTGTTGCACTGGGTTTTATTGTTCCTGCAGACTGGCTGTAGTCCACTCTGGATGTTGTCAGTTGGACTACTGCTTTTTACACACTGTAAGGAAAGGTGTGTCAGAACAAGTCATGTAGGCTGGTGTGAGTCAAAGGCTCTGTAAGGACCTATGATAAATCAGAAGGAAAAAGCAGTAAAACTTTTTTTGGTTCTAGTAATTTGACACTTTTTTTTTGTGTGTGTGATTTATTCTACTTAAAACTGAACCTGAAAAAATAATCTGCAGTAGTAAGCTTTTCTGTGTGATAGCTGAGTACTTTTTTTTTGGTGCAGAACAATGATCAGACTTCATAGATTTCAGGTATCTGTCTAAAATAGCTGTAAGCCAGTGAAGCTGTAGGGATTCACATACTGGAGTAGTAGTTATGCAGTATATTTGTGAAACTAAATTCTTCAGAAGTACAGAATTTTTGCAGCCCTGCTGCATAGCTGCTCTTGCTACATAAGGAGGAAGGGCAGGTTGGGTGTTACAGCTGTGACCTACTGTGTAGCTGAAATAGTTACTGTGTTATTTGCATGCCTGAAGTTCATTAGTAAACGCAAGAACTTATGCAAGCATTTTGTTATTTTCACGATGAATGGTTGTTTTTGCTCTGGTTGGCTGATATAATTGCTTTATTTGTCTCTGAAGTGTTTTGCATTGCAAAGCTTTATACCAAGAGCATAGTCACATATGTTTTACATGTGTGAATGAAAATACATTTTTTAAAAGTACTCTCAGATTCTTACACAGCAGAATCTTCCTTGGGTAAGTCTTGCTTATTCCAAGCTTTTCAAAGATCTGCACATGATGAACACTGTGCTACTAGCTCAGAGTCAGGAGTGTTTTTACCTCAGCATTCATTCAGGTCTTTGAATCTTTAAGATCAAGATCTTCTGACTGCTGCTGTCCCATGTCTCCATTGATTTTCAGCTTCGATTAGTATAACTGTCTTAAAACTTCTTCAGCACTAAATTACGTAGTTTAATTGTTTACTTTAACAATAACTTCTTACCTATTCATGTGTTTTCACTCTGTTCTGTGTTGTCACACACCAAGGCAAAGGTTTGGGTCTCTTGATATCTGTGCATTCATCTTTCATTTTCTCTGCTTTTGTGGATGGGGTGGTTGACAATTTTGAAACTCCTCCCTGCTTTTCTAATAGAACTGGAGCAAGGTAATTTTTCTGAGACAAGATTATCAGAGATGCTGACTGTGTTCTTCAGCCCCAATCTCTAACAGTCTTCCTGCATTGCTCCATATAGCCAGGACAGATCTTCTCATGTTCACTCTTCCTGGAGGAAGAGTGGGGACAGAGGTCCCTTGGGAAGCCAGTAGGGTCCAAGGGGTTCACACTGCTCCCCAGCTCATGGGGCCCACCACACTGGGAAGAATGAGTTTTGGGAAACGTGAGCTCTGTGCCCGTGGACGTTTGCAGCGGCACATTGGCTGTGCTGCCAGTGGCTGGGACAGGCTAAAGGTTTTACAACACTGCTGGGACAGAGGGCTCAGCTCCAGCTCTGGGCAGAGTGTTTGGCACTTCCAAAGGGTCTGGGTGGGCAGTGCTTTTCCTGGAAGCTTGTCTTCTCCAGCACTGCTGTTCTTACCCTGACTAAACAGAACATGCAAGGGTTGAACCTGGAACTCTCAAAAAAGCAATATTTAACTTCACAAAGATGTTGTCCATCCACAACCCACACTTTTTTCAACAGTTTTTGATCCGCTGGTCATCTTACTTCCAAAGTGTAGTGTAACTTGCAGATGTCTCTTTATGTCTGTCTGTTAATGCACATACTGAAAGTTGTTTTGCTATGAATACTAAACAAACTGTTCCCTTGATTTTTCCTATGCAAAGGACAAACATAATTTTTTTTTCTTGTTTCCATGCATATTAATAGTTTTCTTGCTTGGTTGTTTTTTGTGTTAAGAAAATAGCTTATGAACATTTTGGCACTTCTGAGTTCCTAATAGCTGTAGTAAAACAGACCATTGTAAATTGCCATTTACTAAAACAAACCATCTTGAAGCAATCTTAGAACCATCAAGGTCCAAAAGACCTCCAAGGTTATAGAGTCCATCCTCTGACCAATCACCACCTTATCAATTAGACCATAGTACTAAGTGCCATGTCTAGTCATTTCTTGAACACTTCCAGAGATGATGACTCCATCACCTCCCTGGGCAGCCTGTTCTAAAGCTTGACAACCTTTTCAGTGAAGAAATGTTTCCTGATGTCCAACTTGAACCTCCTGTGGGTGCAGCTTGAGGCAATGTCCTCTTGGCCTGTCACTAATTGCCCAGGAGAAGAGGCTGAGCCCCACCAGGCTACAACCTTTGGGGTAGTTGTAGAGAGTGTTAAAGTCTCCACTGAGCCTCCTTTTCTCCAGGCTAAACCACCACCAACTCCCTCACCCACTTCTCGTAGGACTTACTCTCTAGACCCTTCACAAGCTTTGTTGACTTTCTCTGGGCACACTCCATCATCTCAGTGTCTTTCTTGAGTTGAGTGGCCCTGAGCTGGACACAGTACTCAAGGTGTGGCCTCACCAGTGCCAAGTACAGAGGGACAACCACTTCCCTGGTCCTGCTGGCCACACTATTTTTGTTACAGATGAGGATGTCATTGGCCTTCTAGGCCACCTGGGCACAGTTGGCTCATGGTCATTCTGCTGTTGTACAGCACCCCCAGGTCCTTTTCCACCAGGGACCTTTCCAGCCACTCTGCCCCAAGTCTGTGGCACTGTGTGGGGCTGTTGTGACACAAGGGCAGGACCTGGCACTTCACCTTCTTGAACCACACACAGTTGGCCTCAGGTCCAGCCTTGATCGAGCCTGTCCAGATCCCTCTGCAGAGCCTTGCTGCCCTCCAGCAGATCAACACTCCTGCCCAGTGTGAGACTTCTGTGAGGAAATAGTATAAAACTAGTTGTGTCCCAAGCAGAAACCTTTCAAAAGTATCTCGGTTCATGCTGGTGTTTCCAGACAAGTAAGAAACATTCATGCATATTTCTAAAATTTAGGTAAACTTAAAAGCAAAAATGTTGTATTTATGCAGATATTTTCAGCTTCAGGCAAGGTTCTAAACTTGGTTCAAAATACTTTGCTTTTCTAAAATCTCTTAAGTTTAAACTTACATTTTTCTGTCACAAAAAGTTTCCTTTACATGATATTTCTTTTTAGTTTAAAGTATTTGAGAAAAACAAATTAGGTGCTGTTTCTTAGGAGTTTTTGAACCAATCTGCAAATATTTTTTTTTTTATGGGTTTTAGACATTCAAAAATGACTACCAGAAATGCAGCCCAGTTCACCTTTACTCAGTGGTGCATGTTTCTAGTGATACTCCACAGTTTTGGCAGCATTTAAGTTACAAATGCAAAGTACTTACTATCTGGCTTTTTATTATAGCTAAAGAACAAGTAGACAGCCTAAAGGCATTCTTTTTTCTCTAAGTACTACAAAAGTGAGTCAGTGAATACTAATTTCATTGTAAGCAGAAAAATATACTTGCAAAGTTGCTGGACTTTGGGGCAGGAGGTTGGTGTCTGTTGGAGGTGTGTCACCTCCTCACTGAAAAGTGTGCATTGCTTGAGGAGGTTATATTGGACTTTGGGGCAGGAGGTTGGTGTCTATTGGAGGTGTGTCACCTCCTCACTGAAGAGTGTGCATTGCTTGAGGAGGTTATACAGGGCCCAGTGTGTGGGAAGTTATGCTTAAGGCATTGGGATATGCCTCTGAAATGTTTACAGCTGCAGCCACACCAGTGCAGTTTCATACTTGGATGTGCAACAACAATATGAGTATTTGGAAAAGTATATGCAAGTCAGTCCCTGCAGCCTTAGCACACAGCAACTGTTATAGGTGATGTACAGTAAACTGGTCCTTGAGTTTCTGAGGGACCAGTTACTCTTCTCTAGATCCCTTTGTAGGAACTTAAAGGGATCTGCAGTCTTCACAGCATGAGCCAAGAATAGAGAGGGGTTTGTGTTACCTCACTTGATGAACCAGTTTTAATGCCTCAGGCCAAGAACTTCAGTTTTCTGCATGCTAAATGAGCAGAAGAAAAGAGATGAAGTTTTCACTTCTGGAGAACATAGGTGTGCCCCATGCTTTTTGCTGAATACGATAGGAAATGTGGGCTGTTGGCACTGCACAGTGATACTAATTCCTGAGTTACCTCAGTGGGAGTGTGGTATGGAATATCTTATATTCTGCAAAATCACACATTGACTCACTCAGAATTGAAAATGCTTTCATCAGTGGACCTCAGTAAGGGTAACTCTTGTGGAAGGCTCAGTAAATTCTGTTCTGCCTTCTTAGGTATCCTCACTTTGTCTCCACCTTTTTTTATTTACTTAAATAATTTATCTGAGGCCCTGTCAAAAGTCTGTGTAATAGTTGCCAGGGAGAGATGGGTCCCTATAAGTCTGTGAGGTCTGATGGGATTCATCCAAAAATACTCCAAGAGCTGGCTGATGTCATCATGAGCCCTCTCAGTGATCTTGGCAATCTGGCGAGGTCTCAGGCAACTGGAAGCTGGCAAACATTGTCCCAGTGTTCAAGAAGGGCAAGAAACTACAGGCCTGTCAGTCTCACTTCAATGCCTGGTAAAATTATGGAGATTATTCTGGGAGTTACTGAAAACACCTGAAGGACAGTACAGTCAGTCATCAGTCACACCCAGCACAGGTTCATGAGGGGAAAGTCCTGCTTGTCAAACTTAATTTCCTTTTACAACAGGGTAACCCACCTAGTTGATATAATCTTTTTAGATGTCAGTAAAGCTTTTGATACTCTCTTACAGTATCCTTCTGGACAAAATGTCCATCATTTAACTGGATAAACACATGCAGTGGGTGAGCAACTGGCTGATGGGTCAGGCACGAAGGGTTATGGTGAATGGGGTTATGTCAAACTGGTGACCAGTCACTGGTGGGTTCCACAGGGCTCCAGCTTGGGCCCAGAGCTCTTCAGCATCTTCATAAATGACTTGGACATAGGGCTCAAAGGTACACTAGGTAAGTTTGCCAATGGTACTAGATTGGGAGGAGCTGTTGAGTGCCTCAAAGGCAGAGAGGCCCTGCAGAGAGACCTAAACAAATTAAAGGGCTGGGCAAGCACCAGCCATATGAAGCTTAACAAAGACAAGTTAAAGATTCTGCACCTGGGATGGGACAACCCTGGATGTACATTGAGACTGGGGAGTGAGATGAGAAAGGGTCCTGGGGGTCCTGGCCAATGGCAAGTTGAATAGGAGTCAGCAGTGTGCCCTGACAGCCAGGAAGGACAGCCGTGTCCTGGGATGCATCAGACACAGCATCCTGAACCTGTCAAGGGAGCTGATTGTTCCACTTTAATGTGCCCTGGTGCAGCCTCACACTGAGCAATGTGTGCAGTTTGGGGCACCACTGTATAAGAGCTATTAAGGTGTCAGAGTGTCCAAAGGAGGCAATAAAGATGGGGAAGGGTCTAGAGGGGAAACCACATGAGGAGTGGCTGAGGTCACTTGGTCTGTTCAGCCTGGAGGAGACTGAGGGGAGACCTTGTTGTGGTCTGCAGCTTCCTCAAGGGGAGCACAGGGGCAGGCACTGATCTCTTCTCCAGTGACTAGCGATGGGACCCAAGGGAACAGCATGAAGCTGTGTATGGGGAGATTTAGGTTAGATGTTAGGAAAAGGTTTTTCACCCAGAGGATGTTTGGGCACTGAACAGCTCCCCAGGGAAGATGTCACAGCCCCAAGGCTGACAGAGCTCAAGAGGCATTTGGACAATGCTCTCAGGCACAAGTTGTGATTCTTGGGGTTGTCCTGTGCAGGGCCAGGAGTTGGACTTTGATTCCTGTAAGTCCCTTCCAACTTAGGATATTCTATGAAATTCTAATACTGCTGTATTCTAGTACTGTTGTACACCACATTGTGAGCTTCCACAATTGACTGAAAAAGAAATAAATCCAACCTTCAGTCAGATCTTCTGTCTCTAGAGTTTCACAGAACTTGAGTCCGTGAGTCTGCAGCCACGAGTCAAAAGGAATGTGTTTATACAAACAGCATTACTGTAGGCATGGCAGTGTTTGAGAAGGATTGATAGCTAAATATTAGAAGCAAACAAGAAAAATATCGAGTCCCTCAAAAGTTGACTGTTAGAGACAAGTCTGAGCTTAGCTGTATCTCCTGGCATCTCACATATGCCCTAATTAAAGTGGAGTGTTGTTTAATATGGTAAAATGTGTTGTCAATATATCAGTGTTTATACATTGAAATAACATTATTCAGACTGGATATGTGACTGAAGAAGGTGTGCATGCTGGTGAGGCAGGTGGCTGTAGCTGAGGTGTAAAAATCCTATATTAACAAAGAAAGGCTTTTTCACATTGTACTTTGGTGCTCACAAACGACAACATTTCACACTCTAAATCTGAAGGTCTGGAATGATTGAAAGCCAAGAATGCAAAGCATAAAATCTTGGCATTCAGAAATAGATGCCTGAAATCATGTACTGGTCTAAGTTGTATTAAAACACTTTGTGGGTTTTATTTTTAAAGCCTCTGGGCTGAAGTATGAAAGAAAAAGAAAACCCACTTATTTTCAGATGTACATGGAGAGAGGCAGATTGTTCTAAGTCTACGTATAAAAATTGGAGAGACTACAACTCTTTTCCTGGATTAGAATATATCTATTCCCTGTTTGAACAGTAGAGTTTTGACGGTACTGCTTATGCTGCCTTTTTTTTTTTTTTTTAAATAGTGTTCCATCTCCATCTTGAGGTGCCAGGGAAACCTTTCTCCTCAATTTTTTTCTTGTCTTGGAATGCACTAGGGCCTTTAGAAGGTCAGGTAAACATCAAGGTATTAGCTTTCTTTTCAAGAGGTTTTCTTCTCTAGGCTCATGAGATCTTGAAAGTTAAAAAGGAATGGGCAAAGGTGTTATTACTGAGTGATATCCACCTCAGTAGTCACTTCAGAATATTTTCCTTTTGGAAGCAGCTGCATTGAAACTGATACTTATGCAGCCAGTATTGACAGCTAGGTACAGCAGGTGCTGAGCAGCACCAGTGGGTCTAGCTCTTCAGTTCTCAAGTACTTCTTCTATGAAGCATCTGTGCATTCTTGAACTTAGCTTGAAGCAAATGTCCCAATCTCTGATGAAAATCTTGCTTCCCATGTTCTAATAGTTACAGTGCTGTGTCACTAAAGTTGCCTAAAAGGCTTCTTACGCCTAATCAAAATGTGTGAAATGTTTCATGGTTGGTATTTTGCATTAGTAACTTGTTTTCTTAAATGAAGTCAAGCTGTGGGGGTTTCTTTCCAAAATGGGGTCAGATGTGGTGCTCTTGGTGCTGCATGCAGCTTCTGTCCTGATTTCCTGCAGCTTTCTAGTGGTTTCTTTACTATTTGCATGTTTCTGTAGAAGTTTGTGACCTTATTAATGAGGCAGTTGAATTTTCTTCTGTGTGTGTATGTATAGTACTGAGCACATGGACTTGTACAGCAATGCAGCTGTCATTTTTGATGTACTTGCCACCTATAATGGCAGGAGAAAGGATTTGGCAAATAGCTGTTTTAGAGAACCATGTAATTCATTTAAGCTGAATATTCAACATTGAGCTCATCTGGGATTGTGGTTTTGGCATCAGTTGGATTAACCAAGTAGTATTTTTCCTATGGGTACAAATAGACTAAATATATGATAATTTTGTCATTTGGACTCTTGTTAGAAATGGTTTAGATTTTGAAAGGGTTTATATCTTATTGGTGTAGTGTGGATAGCATGGCTAACTAGCTGCCTAATTGTGTTCTCTGTCAGTGGCAACCATGCCTCAGTACTATATATTAGATTCACCACCTCTATGAGATCCAGTTCTGTTTCACTTGCAGCCTTGTTCTGCATCCAGATTGCTCTCTTCCAGTCACACTGAGATTGTTCAGAACTGAGCAAGATTGTCTCCATTAGCATCACAATGTAAAGCTGAAAACTATGTGCAAACTGGATTTGTCTTACATAGAGCCCACAAATGAAACTAATTGTTCAGAACTGAGCAAGATTGTCTCTACTAGCACCACAATGTAAAGCTGAAAACTATGCAGACTGAATTTGTCTTACATAGAACCCACAAATGAAACTGTGTTAAATATATTCGCGTTTGTCAAGATGAGAATCCTGCGTTTAAAAAAAGTCTCCTGATGTGTCCTCTCCGACAGAAATCTTGTGTTTCAGTGCCTGACTAATCTCTGCCTTGCTGATGCTTTTGGATGAGCTTTGTCTGTGGGAGCTGTACTAATCCTTGTACTTACTGTTTGACTGTTTGCTACAGGAAGCGAGCAGCTGCAAAGCATCTAATAGAGCGCTACTACCACCAGTTAACCGAGGGCTGTGGAAATGAAGCCTGCACGAATGAATTTTGTGCTTCCTGTCCAACTTTTCTCCGTATGGATAACAATGCAGCAGCCATTAAGGCCCTCGAGCTTTATAAGATTAATGCAAAACTCTGTGATCCTCATCCCTCCAAGAAAGGAACGAGCTCAGCTTACCTAGAAAACAATTCCAAAGGTGCCCATAACAATTCCTGCACTGACAGAAAAATGAACAAGAAGGACATGCAAGGCCCAAGAGATGACTTTAAAGGTAAGATGTTATTTTAGAATTTTCCTAGAACAAAACACAGTTTGGTGTGCCTGAGTACAAGCCAACAGATTTCCCTGTGGTGGTGCTCTGCTGACTTCTTAAGTACAACACAGGATTGGGCAGTCAAGAGTTTTTCTATGGATTCTGAAAAATGGCTGGATTAATGCTGAGCACCAATTCTAAATATGGATCTTGACCACATCTCTGTTCAAATCAAGGTGCATTTGTTCTTTTGTGAGAACAGTGATTTTGCAAGTATGGAAAGGGGTTTTTAAGTGCTTTTGTACAAATGTTTCAGTTTTGCTAGTTTGGTAGCTGTTCTGCAGTTAATGAGTTCTGAAAGTTGTACTTTAACTAATTCCAGATTCTTTGTTAAGAAACTTAACAAATAAAAAAAATACAGTGGATGATATTTAGTATATTTACTAAGGTAAAAATAGTTTAAGCTAAGTTATTTCTAAGCTAGTCTACAAAAATGAGATACTGTTCTGAATATATTTTCTAAGTTCTATTTAGCTTTTCAAACTCTCTAGAATAGTAAATACATACTAATAGGATAATGTTTGTGTTGCCAAACCTCTGTTGCAAACAGAAATCCCAGGCCAAATTAAATTAAAGCCATTAACCTCTGAGTAGACCTTTTTTAAGGCTTGTGGCAATGAGTGGTATAAACAGAGGTTCAGATTTGTTTGTTTTAGTTAAAGAAGGTGAAATTGTTTCCAGCAAAGACTTAAAAAGCCATACAGAATGAGCAATAAAACATAGTGCTGTATGATGAGAGACCTAAGATGTTCCAGCATCAGTTCATTCTTTGTCTGATGCAAGGATAAATTTGTCCCCAAATTATTTGTGATCTGAATGAGCACAGAGGGAAACAGTAGGGAAGGGAAACAGGAGGCAATGTAGTGTTAGATGGGCAAGAGGCACATTAGGTCTGTTTTGTGATTTGTCTCTTGGTTTTGTGTATTTTTAATGGAACATATAATTCTGCATATACAGAATTTTCCTCCTTCTCTCTAACCATCCCCTCTCCCCAAGGTAGATATCTTAAGAGTCTTCTCAGCCCACCTCCAGAGACAGGCTGTTGTCAGCAGCAGTGACCCAGACTTCCTCAGCTGGAGCAGCACAAGTATTGACCTTCCTTTGTAGCTGTATGGACAGAGAGCATTAATGCATTCTTAAAGCCTATCTGACACTTATTACCTTTGGAATTGGATAATGTCCTGTGAATCTAGTGCTCTCAAGTTTTGTAAGGTCCATGTGCTACAACAGTTACTGGGGGGAAATTCAGTTAAGAGAGCCAAGGAGAAGGATGTGTACCTTGCTTTTGTGCTTGACCTAGGATTACAAGTTCTAAATAAATTGAAAGAAATACCCCTCAGGAATAATTACTTAAATTACCTTCCTGAGACTGAGGAAAGTATGTGGGGGCTGCTGTCAGCATCTCAGTAATATCTTAGATGGAAGTCCAAAAAGAAGGAAATGGAGAAATCACAAATACATAAAAAAGTTACAAATGTAGTCAGAGAGAGAGCACCATTTCACAACCAGTGTCAGAATTGCCTGGGAAACTATTCAGCTTTGGTCACCAAAACATTAGATTGGAAGCACAGAAGGCCAGTGGATAGGCAGGGAGCACACAGTCCTCACTGAGCTTCCATGAGACATAAAGAAAATATAGTTAATGAATTTGATAATCTGGGAGTGTGTTGTTTGCAGTGTATGGATATTACATGCTGTCTTTTTCACAGTCAAGGGTCACTGCTAAAGCTTGGTTTTGTGTACAGATTTGTCATGGAGTATGACTGAGAATAAGGTGTGAGAGGAGATGGGTTCACTGCATTGCTTAGTTGAAATAGGTATGACTGAAGGTGTGAGAGGAGATGGGTTCACTGGATTGCTTGGTTGAAATTGGAGGGGTGAGAGGAGAAAGCATGGAAAAGCTCACATAGACACAAGTCAGCTAAAATGGGCTTGTGTCAGAAGGAAACTTTGCTTATGTTTGTTTTTCTCCAGCTGTTCTCACTGCTGAAAGGTACAAATAGGGTCAGACCCTTATGACAGCTCAAAGGTGTGAGAGGAGATGGGTTCACTGGATTGCTTGGTTGAAATTGGAGGGGTGAGAGGAGAAAGCATGGAAAAGCTCACATAGACACAAGTCAGCTAAAATGGGCTTGTGTCAGAAGGAAACTTTGCTTATGTTTGTTTTTCTCCAGCTGTTCTCACTGCTGAAAGGTACAAATAGGGTCAGACCCTTATGACAGCTCAGTTACAGGAGAGTCTGAGGGTATGACTTGGAGCTCTTACAAAACTGCTGATGGTAATATTAAATACTTGAACTGGAAATAGCACATGGTTAGTTCCTTAAATACTGAAACCTTTAAAAGAATGACTGGGGAACCCCTGTTTTAAGTGTGCAAATCTGAAATGTGTTTATATTGTTAAATTGTCAACTTCTGCTGATAACTGTTGTGCTGTGAACACCCTCTGTGGTCCAGAGTCAGTGAACATGAGGTTAAGGGCCTCGTTTTGAGGAGCTGTGGCATGGAACAACATCTGTATCAGCAGTTTCTTTTAGACCAGTTTTGCTTCCTGAGCATGTGTGGCAGCAGATAAAAGTAAGAGGTGCTGCACTGAGCTTGAATCCTTTCATAAAGTTTTCAATACTGCTGTCTTTTTAACAGGACAGGTTTCAGTTTGGAGCTTTTTCACTGGCTTCAGATCGGTTGGAAGTCTTAAGTAGCATGATATAAACTTAATATTTCCTGTGTTATATGTGCTTTAAGAGTGGCTTGGGGCTCTGTGGAAACCAATAGGTTGTCTGTCTTTGCATCATGTAGTTTGTATTTTTCATTTAATGACTGCTTGGAATGAATATCAGTGTAGGCAGTCACATTTCAAAGTCCTTTTAGCATATCAGGTCTTTATTAAAATGATGCATTTCCTTCTTTCTGCAGAGGTAGTTGTTCTGGCATGGTTGGTGAATACAGTTCTGTAATGTGTGTTTTCTAGATCTCTAGAGATGCTATTAAACAGATTCAGTTTTAGTTCTAAATTATGTGTCAGTTCAGAAGAATCTGCTTAAACTGGAGTATCTTTTTAGAGCCTGATCATGTGGTAATCCTACCCTAAATCATCACCTGATGCAAAAGCATCTGTGGGTTCTGTTTGAGAACTAACATAGAAAGCTATAAATTATATTTTCTCCTTCTCTTTTCTAAAGAGAAAGGAAGATTTCAAATTACAAATGGACCCTCCTCATGATTGATTTCATATCAGGAGTTTGGGGAGAGGGAGGACAGACAGGTATTTGGAACAGCTTCTTCACCTGAAGAGCATGTTGATGAGTACACCCAAGGTGTTTATCTCAGTGAGGCCTAATATACAAAGAAATAACCCACGTGCCTCACTGTGTGTGTAGTTTAGAAAGCAGCTTAAATTGCTGAGCATGTATTGGGGTTTGGGAGGATTTTGAGGCATCAGTTTAGTATAAAAACAGCTGCAGAAAACATTAAAGGTGGAAATAAGAGATCTTATATTCCCATTAACATACAACAAGCAAATTGTTGAATGTTTTCCTTAAGATGAGTTTATAAGGGAGAAAGGATGTGTGAAGTCCACAGACATGTGCTATGTTTACAAAAAGGGGTGGATAGTCTAGTTTTAGTTTGATGACTTGTACATGAGCTGTGCAGATTTACCAGAAGACTTTACCACAGTCTTACTAAGTCTTTTCAAGTTTCAGCATCTTCCTGATTGCTCTTGTTTAGATGATACAGTACTATTAACTACAAATGTTAATAGTACAAGTGTAGTTAGTTACAAATAGTTAACAAATGTAGTTAATTGACAGCAAAACCGTTTCACCATTGTGCACATTCTGACATCCATGAATAAAGTACTTTACAAAATCAGTGACTGGAATCATGATTCTTCATGCTAACAAAATGATAAAGTGTCTGCCTTGGATTTATCCAGCACTGACACTCTTTGCAGTGCTAATGACGATATGGCACACAGAGTTCTTGAGTAAATTAGAAACAGTTTATCTTTTTAATTTTGATCTTAATAAAATCTTTATCTTTCCATAGATGTGACTTTTCTAACAGAAGAGAAGATCTATGAAATTCTTGAGCTTTGTCGAGAAAAAGAGGATTATTCCCCTTTAATCCGGGTGATTGGGAGAGTGTTTTCTAGTGCTGAAGCTTTGGTACAGAGTTTCCGAAAAGCCAAGCAGCACACCAAGGAGGAGCTCAAGTCTCTTCAAGGGAAGGATGAAGATAAAGATGAAGATGAGAAGGAAAAGGCTGCCTGTTCGGCTGCTGCGATGGAAGAGGATTCCGGCGCGTCGTCGTCTTCGTCGTCACGAATAGGTGACAACACACAGGGAGATAATAACCTCCAAAAACTAGGCCCGGATGAAGTGTCTGTAGATATTGAAGCAGTCAGACGGGTCTATGATAGATTACTTTCTAATGAAAAAATAGAAACTGCCTTTTTAAATGCACTCGTGTACTTGTCACCTAATGTGGAATGTGACTTGACTTACCATAACGTGTACTCTCGGGATCCTAACTATCTGAATTTGTTTATTATCGTTATGGAGAATGGCAATCTTCATAGCCCAGAGTATCTGGAAATGGCTCTACCCTTGTTTTGCAAAGCAATGAGCAAACTGCCCCTTGCAGCTCAAGCAAAACTGGTCAGATTGTGGTCTAAGTACAGAGCAGACCAAATTCGGAGAATGATGGAAACATTTCAGCAGCTTATTACTTACAAAGTCATAAGCAATGAGTTCAGTAGTCGTAACCTAGTGAATGATGATGATGCTGTTGTTGCTGCTTCAAAGTGCTTGAAAATGGTTTACTATGCAAATGTAGTAGGAGGGGATGTGGATACAGATCATAATGAAGAGGAAGATGAAGAACCCATCCCAGAATCAAGTGAACTAACTCTCCAAGAGCTGTTGGGTGAGGAAAGAAGAAATAAAAAAGGTCCTCGAGTGGACCCACTGGAAACTGAACTGGGTGTTAAAACTATAGATTGCAGAAAACCACTTATTCCTTTTGAAGAATTTATTAATGAACCACTGAATGATGTTCTAGAAATGGACAAAGACTACACTTTCTTCAAAGTAGAAACAGAAAACAAATTCTCCTTTATGACCTGTCCCTTCATATTGAATGCTGTTACCAAGAACCTGGGATTGTACTATGACAATAGGATCCGGATGTACAGTGAGAGACGCATCACTGTGCTCTACAGCTTAGTCCAAGGGCAGCAGCTCAACCCCTATCTGCGGCTCAAAGTGAGGCGGGATCACATCATAGACGACGCGCTGGTCCGGGTAAGCGTGGGGCTGCAGGGAGCTGGGCTTGGCTGGTTCTCACTGGGGCAAACTGCATGGGCTTGGGCTGACAGGGGCTGTGTCTGAGTACATACATACGAGATTTCCTCTGAAAGGCTCTCAGCTTTACGGCACTGTCTGAACTCCAAGCGTGATGCTGACATTGATATGTTCAGCAGAATCACTTCTACTCAGAGTGTTACAGACTTACATGTTGTAAAGTGTTAAACAGTTCTTATTCCCTGTTAGCAGATTCTGCACTGATACAGCTCCTAATGGTACAAGTGACCAACTTGTCTTTCAGTCCTTCTTCATCCTCTCGTCTGTCCTGGATCATCTTCTGCTAGTAGGGTTGTTTAGGTGGAAGTTGGAATTAAAACCTTGCAGTTGTGCACTCTTCTCATGGACTTCTGAACTTCCAGAGATAAAGTGTTGCTGGAATTTGGTGCAAATACTGGTATGACAGAGAAAGGAGAAGACAGAGCTATTAATACCTGGGAAGTGTGAGAGCAGCCTGTTTCCAAGTGTGCTGGTTTCCTAAAGTAACACTGAGAGTCACCATTTATTCACCTATCTTTGGAAGATGGGAATTATACAGGATACAAGCTATAGAGAGTATTCTACAGTAAAAATATCCATATATGTCATAAATATTTCCTTTGAATTTAAGACCCTTTATTTTTTTCCTTAAAGCTGGCATTTTTCAGAAGCTCATTTTCCTGTGTTTTGTTATTAAAGCACAGTGTTTGCAAACTTCTGAATTTAACCATGGCTTTAAAACTTGTCACTGAGGAGCCAGACAGGTGTTTGGAGAGGTTTTGGTGCAAACCTGGGTTTGCCTCTCAACTCTGCTGTTACTTCTAGTTAAATCTGATGACTTTTGACAACTACCAAAAGTCAGCTGTGAGAGCCTTAGTTGAGCTTCCACCTTGATTTTTCTGTGTCCCTAGGGATTTCCAGATGGCTTAGCTGCTTCATGGGAATTGCTGATATCGTGACTTGTCAGGGAAAACATTTGTCTTCAGTACCAAGAGGAAAAATAAGATTGCAGTGCAGAAATGATTTCTGTCTGTAAACTCAACTTTATGTTAGGCAAATGAGAAATACATCGTTTTAAGATTAAAGCCTACTGTCTACCAGTTTGTATAATTTAAGAATACTCTTTGTAATTTCACTACCTATCAGACTCACAGTTGTATCCAGTAATGTTTTGTCACATGACTGTAATGGAGTTTATTTCCTTAACTGGCTTTGGGATATGTAGATACTGGAAAAAACGGAGGGGACAGTACCATCTCTTGGGAGAGGGTGGGATAAAAGAGCATAAGAGGTAGGTTTAGGGAGATGTTATTTTTAATGTCAGTTCCAGCAGAAGGAGAGCAGATCTTCCTCCTATTGCTGATAATGGAAAGGAAAATTAGTAAATAGGAGAAAAGGCATTCTTCCACATACTGCTTGTTGTGGAAGGATGTTGAAATCTTTGAGGACAAAAAAAATTATGTTTAGTGTTGCTTAGAAAGCTTGTGGGCAGCATCATAGAATCATCAGGGTTGGAG